GATTCAAGGGATTCTCTGTTAAGAAAAGGAAGCAAGAATGTACAAATAGAGTGCTCTTAAAATTTGGAATTTAGTACATTTTTTGAGACCTATGTATACAAGGAGATCCCACGGGCTGCAGATAATACTATTGGAGAGAATAGAATGTTAGGAAGACTTTGGGTCATCAAAAGGAGTGAGTTTTCCTTATGTTTTCTGATGTCTGAAATGAGGAACCTTGAAGACCTTCAGAAATCTTTTCTTATTGCCCATCCTTTAAACTAGGTCCTGGGGCTCTAGATCATGGTATGCAGAATCCTGGGAAGTCCAGAACATGACATAATGACCAATGGGCCTTTCTACTAAGTCTGGGATCTAAGTCTGAGCACATTGTTTTCAGTTGAACTCTTTGCAGCAAGTTGAGAGGATTTAAAGACTGAGATGGGAAAGTTCTACCCTAAAAAGATACGACCTGAGCCTGGCCCCCTTCCACATTGCCCCTTTATTTAATTTGTCTTGGCTTTCTCTCTTCTCATGTCATCCCTCTTCCTGTCCTTGTACTTCTTTTTTTCTTCTCTTTGTCCCTTTCATTTAACATATCTTGCCTTGAATGAATATTTCTTAGATAATGTTTGATTCCAGTGGCTTCCTTCAGATCTAAGCAACTTCTAGAGTTTGTTCCAGGGAAGACAGACTAACATGGGTAGGAGGAGCTTGACTATGGACTATGGGTATAGGGAGAGAGGAGTGAGGGACGAGAACATAATATAGGAGATGTGAAGGTGTCCTGTGCTTCCTGACCTTAGCTCCCTGGCTTCATCTCATAGGCAAAGGTTTGGGTTAAATAGGGTTGTGGGATGAGATTGCCTACCCATCATTCTTTCCACTGAAGCTTCCCCCTTCCACTTTAGCTGGCAGGGCTGTACTTGCATTTACAGAGGCTAAAGGTGGCAGATTTCATTTTGCTATCTCTTTTGCTTCCAGGATGGTAATCTGGAATAATAGGTAGGAAGAGATGTTTGCTAAAGGTCTTTTGGGAGAAATTTTCATCCCTTTGAAAAGAGAGACAAAGAGAGGGAAAGACCTATCTTAATTTCTAGATTTAGTCTAAATGCATATGGCATCTGGAGTTGCTACAGTTTGCATTTGGTCTGCATATGGCATCTGGGGTTGCTACAGTTGCTACAGTTTTGCTACCAAGGGAGAATCATGATTGAACACTGCAAGGATGGCAGAGAAAAACATGGAAAGATCCTGGATCCTTGAGACCACTGAGCTGCTCATCCAAGTCTGGAGCATCTTATGTAATCGGCTTTATTGTTTAAGCTATTTTTAGTTGGGATTTCTGCTACCTGAGCTAAAACCATTTAGATGGGAACTAGCAAGCACAACCTCATGGTTGGGCTTTTATTTTATGCTAACTTTTAGTTTCTTTAATGTCACATATTAAATAGACAAAGCATTCTATTTACGTGGCTTTCTCCAATGCCCTTTACTATCCAGAAGCTGAAAGTTCATTCCTTGATTGTCTTTATAAACTTTCCTAATAAAATACTTAGTGAATCCAAAGCTTATGGCCATCACACTAGAGTAAAAAAAATGGTTTCAGTAATCTTTTCCTGATTTTCTAATGAATGGTATATGATGCTGGATGACTAAAGGCAGAGTGTCAATTCTGATAAGATCTACAGCGTATTGGTGATGCAAGTACAGAAGAGCCTTTCTTCTTGTTTGATTACTCCTTCCATGCATCCCTTCCAGAAAAAAAGGTCTGAAAGGTTCTCCATGTTTAACACACACTGAGCTCTGTAGTAAAATACAATTTTGCGTGCCATGCCTTCCTCCCCCCACCAGTACTGTTTCTGTATATAGCAAGTTAAAAATTGTATTAATCTGTGTGCCTCATTCATCACTTCATTCTCCTCACTAAAAGCTTCTGGATGTACTCATTCAGCCTCTATACTGATCCCTCTGAGGAGGATTGTACATTGTCTGACTGCATCTTAGGCAGTGAAAGAGAATCTGGAGTGATGATGGAGGGGACAGTAATATGAGGGGTGAGCCAGGATGGGACTGAAGGAATTTGTGGTAGGTAAAAGTTTGAGAGAGTCATGGGAGCAGGTTCAGGTTGAGGTCAGAGCGTGGGAGAGAAACTTAGGCAGGACTGCCAGTCACCCAATTTACACAAGGATGGCCAAATGAGTTATTGACAGTCAGTGTTCATTCTGAGAGATCAGTACCTGGGCTCTGACAGTTAATAATATTTTGAATATCACCTCTGGAATTATGGGAATTGAAAAATCATTGGGAGATACAGGTCCTCTGTGGTGTTAGAGGTTTGAAATAAAAGTTTTATAAAAACAACCTGGGATAACATTTTAATTTCTTTTAGTGTGTGTGTGTGTGTGTGTGTGTGTGTGTGTATTTAAAATCTGAATTAGTACTCTGGGACTGAAGCATTACTCCAGGAAGCACAATCTAGAGGTGTTACCTATATAATCATTTTTTTATGGGAAAAGAGTGATTGAGACACTGGACTCCACTGGACTCCAACTGTTTTTATTCAAATACAGGAAATACAGGAGTTTTCCCCTTAAGACTTAAGAGTTTAAAGCACTAAATTTAGCACCCTATAGATATGTTTGCTTTTTTGAGAAAAATCTTATCTCTTACCAGGAAGTGTTGTAGTGATAGAGTGATGGAACAAAAGTCTTATGAGCTTCTCTTGTTGTGTATTTTTCTCTAAACATATTCTTGCCTTTCAGAACCACTGTTAAACCAGTGTGTCATCCACAGCTATGTTGTGAAATAATTAGTATTGTATCTACGTTTAAATTTAGCTTCTACTTGCTTGTGAATCCAATTCAGAAACCTATTCCCTTTGGACAAAAACAAGGAAGAAATATAACTGCAGATGGAGCTGGGACAGCCTAATAGTGTGGCAAACTGGTATGCGGACCAGGGAGGAAAATGCTTTCTTTTCATGTAGTACTAGACTAGTGTCCTCCAGCAGAAATATAACATGAGCCACAAATATGACCCCCGTATGTAATTTCAAATGTTCTAGTAGCCCTATTTAAAAAGTGCAAAAAGAAATAGATGAAGTTAGTTTTAAATACATTTATCTCTATGTATCTGAAATACTATTGTTCTAACTGGTAGTCAGTATTAAAAATTACTAAGATACATCAGTTATTTCATTTTTTGGTACTATTTGAAATCAAGTTGCCTTTTGTACTTCTAGCATGTCTGAATACGAGCTAGCCATATTTTCAGTGCTCAGTAGCCATGTGTAGTCAGGGGGTACTGTACTGAATACCATAGGTCTAGACTATTTCTAAAAAGATAATCATTCTATTTTTCACCTGATGCTCACAACAGATCAAAATGGTACATACAGAGATGATTACTTTTTCTTCTAGCCCTATAAGGACCTCCTTGTTAATGTATCTGGGACCAACTTATGAAATGTTTGCCATAGGGCAAGAAGAGAAAGGATTGGCTTTAACATGGAAAGGGGATACTCAGGAGACTCAAAGCTTTGTGAAGTGGTCATGGCACAGTACTTGAAGGTTTTTATGATTGGTATTTATGATCTAGGCTATCCAGATGGTGTCTTTCATGAAAATAGGTATGGAAAGTATAGTTATTTATCAGGAACAATATGGTATAATGGAATGAGTTCTAGATCAAGGGTCAGGAGAACTGGACACTAGTCCAGGTACTGGTCTGAAGGGAGAAAAGCCTGTTAGTATCCATTTTCTTACCTAATTCTTACAATAAGCCTAATGGGTGGGAATTACAACCAACTCCAGTTAACAGAGGAAGAAATGGAGCCTGGAGAGGTGGTATCTTGACTTACCATAGATTTAGGATAAAATCTCAGTTCTGATTTTAAAGCTGCTATGTTCTTAATATTATAACCTATAGGTATGGCATATAATAGCTTTATCTTTTGTGAATTAGGGTTCACCTAAAGAAACAGAGCAGGCAGGCATGCATGCATGTGTGTGTGTGATAAATATCTGTTACAGGGAATTGGCTAATTCAATTTTGGAGATTAGTTACGCAAATCCCTGTAAGGATGTCATATCTACATTTGATGCTGGAGTCCACAGAAGAGGCAGTGATAAAGGGAAGATGACAAGCATGCTGGAAGCCACAGCATGAGCTGGAACACCATGAGATCAAACTGAGCTCCATTTCCATCTTGTTCCCTCTCACCTTGTTCATAAAAGAATTCTGCAGAAACTAGGGTTCTTCATCATGGAATGAAACACATATACTTGGCCCAGGAGTCAGAGAACCTGAAGGGGAGGATCCAGGGGAAGGTGGAGCCTTGCAGGTCCTGTAGCTGTTTCATAGCAGTGAGCTAAGTCAGCTGATCAGCAACAAAGTATAAGAGTGACAAAATGGCTAGAGCTTCCCTTGATCACTTTTCCCAAGAATCTTCCCTGTGGCCCACCTTGATGGGAAACATATAAGGGAATTCTGGGTAATGTAGTTCAGTCTATTTAAGTTGACACATAACAAAGCCACCACATAGGTATTGGGTAAATATTTGTTGAATGAATGAATGAATATTGTGCTGCTTCCCTTGGAAGTTCTTTGGAAACCAGAACATCTAATGACTCGTATAAGCCAAGCCATTTGGAATAAGTCACTTAATCCTTTGAGTCTTAGTTTGTCTATAAAACTCCAAGAACAATCCCTGTTTTCCCTATTTAATAGGACTTTTATAGAGATCAGTTGAGATGATCTGAACAAAAGCACTGTGAACATTATAAAGCATAAAACAAAGGTAATGTAGTATTATTTTAATTATGAATGTTGTTACTACTTGAGCTCCCTAATTGATCACATGGAGTAATAGTTCCTGAGCAATTTGCCTTTTAGGTGTGCCAGGAAGATTAAATTGGATGAAGAATATAGAAGTACTCTGTCAGCTATGCCATAGCATATACTTCAAAGGTGAGACTTCAATTATCATTCAACACTGAGCTACATTTGCACATAATGTTTTAGTTCTGGGCTAAATGGCTTAGAGGGACAAGCGTATAATTGGTAACCCTGGGAGCTGGAGGGCAGTGGCCATTTCTCAGATGGGAGTTGTGGGCAGTGGATAAAGTTTCTGTTCTATAAGTCTGAGCTTGGATTTCATAGCAGCCAAACTTGCTCAGCAAGATGAAGAAATCCCTGCGGAAGTTCTTAGTGAAGATGGCATAGAGGAAGGGGTTGGCACAGGAATTGATGGGATAGAACAGGACCAGGAGGATCTTTGACTTGGACACAGTGATGAGGGGCACCTTGAGGGAAGCAGAGATGGCAAAGAAGGATATGGGTGCCATGCAGAGGAAGTCTGTGAAGATGAGCATGGCCATGCGCTTGGCAATCTTGGTATCACTAGAGGAGGACACGATGTTGGGGTTTCTCACTGTGAGGTAGATGTGAGCATAGCAGCCACAGATGACCACAAAGGCTAGGACATTGAGCACAAGGAGGGACATAACATACAGTTGTGACACGGGGCTGTCAATATCCATGGGCAGGCAGATGCTCACCTTCATGTAGCTGCTGATGCCAAAGATGGGAAAGAGCGCAACTGCAAAAGCAAAGATCCAGCCGAGCAGCATGACCCCGGCAGCGTGGCGGAGCTGCACTTTGCACTCTAGCTGCATGGCATGGGTGATGGTGTGCCATCTTTCCAGTGTTATGGCTGTGAGAGTATAGACTGAGAGCTCACTGGCAAAGACTGTGAAAAAGCCAGCAGCATCACAGCCTGCTCCAGTTTGCCAGTCAATGGCATAGTTGTGGTACTGGCTTTTGGTGTAGATATCAACTGATGCTATGAGCAGCAGGTAGATTCCAATGCAGAGATCGGCAAAGGCCAGGTTGCACATAAGGAACCGGGGGACTGTGAGTTTGTATTGGCTGGTAATCAGGATCACCAACACAATGATATTCCCTGTGATGGCCAGGATGCTAATAAACCATATCAAGACTCTGAGAATATCATGCCCCATGATATCTTCACATGGATTGAATGCATCTGGCTTAGGGGAGCAAGTCACATCAACCACTTCATTGCATAAGTCATAGTCAGATTCACTGTACATGTCAAATCCTTTGGCGTAACTGGATTCCTCGTCTTCTGCCAAAGAGATTCTCTGACCCCTAGCCTGAGTCATATCCTCAATTTCTCGTCTTAAAATAGATTTGTTGCAAATCGGATGAAGCTCAGAGCTAGAAAAATACAAAAAAGGAACAGAATCAGCATCCTGGGTCCGGAATGGCAAATACATCACTGTTTCTGCCCAGGATAGAAATGATGGGGTTTCTTCCTGAATTTTTTTTTTCTCTTCTCAGTCTGTCTGCCCTTGAGGCTAAGCTCAAGGGTTAATGGTGCTTACTGTAAATGAACAGAATGACATGTGTATATATTCCTAGAGTTGGATGGCCCACTGGGGAAACCATCTGGCCACAACCTGAATGTGGGAGGAAGGCGCCTGGGACTAGCTAAGCTTTGCTGTTAAGTGCAAATAATTTACAGACCTTATATCTACTCCACCCTTTGCCTTCCCCTTATTCAGCTATCTGTTAATATGCCTGAGTAGGATATAATGCTATTCCTCTACTCTCTACTCCACTTGCTGGAAGATCTGGACTGTTTTCTAACTGAAATGAGAACTTACTTGCTGCTTTTATCTACATGAAGCAGAGAAGCAGAGTCTATGGTCAGTTCCCAGCCAGGGCCTCTCTTTAGCTCTCTGGTACTCAGACAGGTGGGAGATCTGCTGATTAGCCCAAAAGGTTCCTCAGGATCCCCTTCTCTATTAGCTTACTTGCCAGGAGCCACACTAGGCCTCAGGTATATGTTGGCCTACAAGGTAAATCTGGGTTTTGCATATTAAATAATTACCTAGTGAGTGCTGAGAGAGCAAACATAAGAATGCAAGGGAGAATCTAATTCATTCTCAGATTATAACTCATTCCCTGGGGGAGCTTGGTCTTCTTGGGGTCACTTTCCTATCTTGGTTTTTCCTTTTAACTCAAATGTACAAGAGGCCTAGTCAACAGAATAGAGGTATTTTTGGAAGGGATTTGAACAAAAGCCAAATGACAAATATTCTATCCATATGGATGATTAGTGCTTGTAAAGACAGGGGGTAATAGTTCTGTTTTGAAGCAAAGGCTAGAGGAAAAGAGATGTTTTACACCGAGTCTCTTCTGGATGGAAAAAAAATTCACATAAACACAAACTTTCTCCCACTTTCCCTTCCTGAGAGCCAAACCCACAGCAATGTTAAGTGACTTTTTCTCTCAAACCCTAACATGATCTCATATAAGTAGGGAAATGAGTGTTAAATCCTTCAAAGAATTCCCTCTCCATAAGGAGAGAGTAGTTGGGGGAGTAGAGGAGGTAAAGTTTGCATTTGATTCTGAAGGAGGGGTCCTGGTTAAGTGTTATGACATATACGGACTAAACTTTTCCCCATCAACCTCTATGAGAAAAGGCTAGGGAGTGTGCTTTCCTTTCTTTATTCCCTTCTGGGAAGTGAATTGAATTGCCAGGAAGTCATTGTCTCTTGGCCAAAGGGTCTCTCTTTCTCTTTTTTAATCCTGGTGATGCCAAAGATAGGAAAGGATTTAATCCTGGATAACGTGTCATCTTTCATTTTAGGAACTGGTTGGGCTTCTCATATCACTCCCAGGTTGCATTAAAGGAGCAAAACAATAGTGTACATGTAATTGAAAAAGCCAGAAAAATCTTTTGGTTTTTGTCCGAGATCTTACCAGAAAAGTGAGGCAAGGCTCAGAGATGGGCCCAGGGAGGACAGGACAATCACTGTAGTCCTTCATCTAACTTGTGACTCCTGAACCCTGTCATTGGATTAGTAGCAGCCCAATTGAAAGAATAGAAAGTAAGTAATCTGGTGCCTACAGATGACAATTCCGTTCGGTAAACTAGATCTGACTTAATCATCTAGAGACCGCTTCACTTCCTGGGGCTTAGTTGGCTTCTGTGAAGATTCTTAATGTTGATAATGCTGCTAACATATTTTAAATATTGATGCTTCCCTTTCCTGAAACAGAAATGACCCAACCACATGAATATAGAAAAGGTAAACAATGTATATCTCTTAGAAAAGGATAGAAACAAAAATAGAAATGAGAGACAGTAGTCTTGCTTCTGCAATACTTTAGCAAATAATAAGCATCATAAAGAGTTGGGAATTCTTGAACCCAGATAAACCAATGAACAGATTCTTAGGATGTGTGTAGTAGAATGGCCCAGAGGCTAGGTTTTGGAAACGAAGCAGAAGGTTTGGATCTAAGTTTGGTTGGTGTTGGTCAAGTTATTTACTGTCTCCGAGCCTCTGTTTTTGCTTCTGTGAGGAGGGAATAAAAATACTATTGCCTTTATGAGAATTATATGAGATAAAGTTGGGAAATATCATGGGGCCAGGCAGTGAGAACTCAGTGAATATGAGTAATACCAAGAAGATGACAGTGGTTACTTACTGAGTTTATGTTGGGGTCCAGGCCCTGAGTGGGTACTTAGATGTATATGCCACAGTGCACCAATTTAAAATCTAGTTGGAAATCTAGTTAAAATCTAATTAGGAAAGGCCTAAATAAAACTAGCATCACAAAATGAACAAAATAACATTACAAGTTGAGGGTAGAACTCTCACAAAGAGCTATATGGTTCAAGGACAAATAAGGTGTGTTAATAAGGTCTTTTGGTGAAAGTCCAGGAGGGCTGTTGACCAAAACCTCACAGTCACAAGGACCTAACATTTACATCTTGGGCATTGTTGCCAAATGAGGATTGGAAGAACAATTGCATCATACAACTTTAAACTTGAATGTCATTACTAAACCACATCTAGGGTATACAATGAAATGACATCATTAAAAAAATCTTGTAGTTAACTCATGAATATCAGAACTATTTTGTGTTTGTGAGTTTGTTAAATATAAAAACTCAATGCTCACTGCAATTTTTGTTACTCTGTTTTGGCATCTCTTCCTAGGAAAGGGGTAGACCTCTCCTTTGCTGTACCAGACAGGCCCTGATGGTAAATTACAATAGGGACCTAGCAAGGATGAGAGCCAGGTGATTTGGGGGCAATCAAGGAAGGCTTCAAGTCATAGGACAACGTTAGACACACCTGGAAATTTCTGGTTAGGGGGAACCCTGAAGCTGCCTCTATGTTACCATGGGGTGGCAAGACCAGAGGAATCTGAGCAATGCAGGTAGGTAACATATTCCTGTAGTGTGTTAGCACTGGGCCAGACAGCATATAACATGCAGTTCTTACAATGATCTTGACAACTTCGGAGATTGGTCCTGAAGGGCATTGAGTTCCAGGGTTTTCTTTGGTAAATTGGTATCTTTCTTGCCCTGGCTGGAATAACTTGTCTGGAATATAAAAGAGGCAAACCTTGCTCCCCAGCCTAAGCCCTTCCACCTTGTAATCATCAGGAAGAAATTCCTGGGCCCTTGAGCTAATGTGTGAGAAGTGTCCAATTCTGGATTGTTTCTCACTGATACATGGTATTTCTGAAAAGTAGCCCCTTGTCTGCAAATCTTTGGAATGGGTGTGAGTGTGGGCTTCTAGTTACTTTGAAAACATTTTAGGTATATACTGTTCTTTGTTTTGTTTTTATCTTGCTTTTGAGAAGGGGCTAAGTCTACATGGGCGGGTGAACGTGTGTGAAGGTTGTTCAATAGAGGAGACTGTAACATACAGTGAAATGACACAGGGAAGCTCTATTAGTGCTGTGGTGCTATTCAAGAGTGCGGCAAGGCATCACCTGAGTGTGAGTGTGTGGTATGGACTGTGTTAGTGAGCTCAGGGGAGGGTGCAGGCTTTGAGAACTCCTCCTACCCAGTGCATTCTACATGCCCTGGATCCTTTAAATGTCTGAAACATTTATATGCAATCTCCAAAAGAGTCCCTCTCCACTTTCTCTCCAGATCCTCTCTGATTACCTCATCTTTTTTACCAGTTGCCTCCTGGGTTTTGTCTCTGTCTGGATTACCCTCTTTTCTGGGCTTCTTCAAATTTGACCAGCCTTGAAAGCCAAAGTGAACAGATGTCCCAATCTGAGTCCTCCCTGTGAGGTGCTAAGATCCAAAGATGGATTAAGGAGTCTTGGAGGGGTTGGGATGTATTGTGTATGTGCGCATCAGTGTCTGGTAGGGCATTTATGCTTCTCCCCTCCAAAGTTGACTTGTATGGTCCCTGGAACATGTATAGGTGGCAGAGTGTGGGACTTGAAAAATAAATCCATAAGAAAAAAGGGAAAAATACTCATTAAGTATCAGCTATGAGTCAGGCACTATAATTGGTGTTTTTCATGTTGCCTCATTTAATATTTGGAAGATTATCTACCATTGTGGGTAGACCTCTGCTGTGAGCCCATTTCAAGAAAATTGGAAACCCTTCACAATACTGAAGTTTTGATTTAGAATATGCCTACGGGCTTTTATCAGGGTGGTCTCTGTAAGTGGATTCACTTCATGCCACAGATAAATAGAAGTTGCGCACCAAAATGCCCAAGTGGGGCTCAAGGGATGGACATAGGAAGACTCACATTTGCCGTCTCCAGTTTGCAAAGGCACAGCAATGGCTAGGGTAGGTGAGGCTGGCCTCCATGAGGGCGACAAACTTCTCCAGACTGGGAAGCTTTTTCAAGTTGTATGTTGACCTGGCCCGGAACTTCTTGAGATTTTCTAATCCATAGCTAGGCAGGGAATGGATCCTGGTTCTTGAAATGTCTCTAGAAGTATAAAATGTAAATATAACTTGATTATTATGGACCTAAAATTTTCTGCTTGATTAGCAGGCAAAATGGCAGACGCAGTAGTGATATTCTTACATGGGTGAGGAGGGAGATACCAGTTGATCCAACATACCTCAGTCAGATCAATATGTAGCTACGAGGACATTTGGTTTCCTGGAGGCCTGGCCTTTGTGTTTGAATAGGAGGATGTAGATAACAGGCCTCTCAAGATACCTGGATATACTCTCATCCTGCCTGACCTGGGGCTTAACTTTAGCCATCTCTCCTTCTATAGTCTGTCTTGAAATAGGTATCCATTAATTTACATAGGCTCAAGAGATGAAAGCCATTTCCTCCCCACCATAAAGTCAGCTATAAAAATATTTGTGATGAGCTGGTGTAGAACCTGTGGCCAAATTTTAGAAAAGTAAGAAGGAAAAGCACCATAAGGGGAAGAAGAATCTGGTAGGCAGTAGAGGCACCCTTGGTACAAAGTCAAAGTGGTGATAGAGAATGGTGGTAACGACAGCCAGACTAGCCCATGTATGTACCCTGCTCCCCTACCTATTAGATTTGTGACCTTGGTAAAGTACTGTCATTTCTCCGTGTCTGTTTCCTCAGCCATAAAATAGGAATGGTAATAATCGTAGCTACCCCAGAGGGCTGTTGGGACAACTAAATGATTTAAAAGTACACAAGAAACTTCCTGGCCAATGGACAGCACTTAATGACTGGCAGCAATTCTCAGTAAACTTCTCTGTCTCTCGTACATAGTTATTCTTGCTTTGTAGGAGTCTCTGCCTGAGCAAAGCAGAGGGGATCTACATGAAGGGCCCCCCAAAGTGGACAGTTTAATCAGGTCCATATCCCTGGAGGGCTCTGAAGTCCTATTCTTTCTGGCAACTGCACCAGTGACATTGGGTACTTTCTGGCAGCATGATTAGCAGCTGTAACTCCCAAAACAACCAAGACTAGCCAGTGGGAGGAAGGAGCTTTAAATGGTACCAGCTTAGACCTGTTGGGGCCAGCAGGTTAGTGAAGGAGTGCTTCTGATGGGGTGGTGGTAGCAAGTGATGACCAGGTTGGACTCATCTCAGGGCACTTGGATATACATGGCAAAGGAGAATCTTTTAATGTCTGCATTTCCTATAAGTCAAAGCATTGGGTACTTAGAGCAATGAAACTTGGGTGTATGAAAATATTTTTGCTATGCCATATGTTCTCACGGTCTGGTGAAAATTACATTCTCCAAACCTTGTTGTCATTGCATCATTCATTTGCTTTCTCAAAAATCCTTAATACTTCCTGTTATCCAATGAAACCCACCCCTATCGCTTCTCGGCCTTTTGGCTAAGATCAAGTGAAACTCACCCCTAACTGCTTCTCTATTTGTCACCTCCATTTCCCAATTAAACATAAAATAATGACACCAGTACCTGCTACTGACAGCTATTTTCTTATAATCCAATCTGATTTCTTCCCAACCCCTAGAGAAATACTCACCAAGGTCCTATCTTCATTCTAAGCTTCTCGATTTCTCAGTTATGTTTTACATGTAAAACATTCATTCTTCCTCGATAAGACGTTTTCATGGCATCACATTCTATTTAATTTTTTCTGATGTCTTCTTTGACCTGTATTTTGTTATCCTTTCTCCTCTATCTTTCCTTTAAATATTGGAGTTTCTCCAACCTTAAGTCACTTCTGACTGTATATAACTTTCTCAGGTGATCTTACCCATGTCCTTGGTTTCAGATACCAGAGATAGGCTGATGGTTTCTGAATATATATCCCAGCTCAGATCCTACTTCTGCACCCCAGGCCCAGATAATCAGTTGTCCATCAGACCCCACTATTTTGATGACTTTCAGGTATTAAAACTGAATTTACTACCTTCTATGTAGGTATGTTCCTCCTTTTGTTTTTCCCATATCAGCAAATGACTCCTCCATTTCCCCCTGTTGTTCAAGATGGAAATTGGAAGAAGTCCTTGATTCCTCCCTCTGCCTCAGTTGGACATTGGGTTTTTTGTCTTTTTAGGCCTGACTTTACATCTGTTTCAAATCAAATTACTCTTCCACTGCTTTAGTTTAAGTCACCTAGACAAAGTCAGTATTCTCATAACTATTCTTGTGACCATGGCATTCCTCAGGGTTCTCCAGGGAAATAGAACCAATAGGATATAAAGAGATAGATTTATTATGAGAATTGCCTCATGGGATTATGGAGACTGAGAAATTCTGTGACATGCCATCTGTAAGCTGGAGAATTCAGAAAGCTGGTGGTATAATTGAGTCCAAGTCCAAAGGCCTATGAACAGGGAGGCCACTGGTCTAAGTCCCAGTGTGGAAAGCCTCAAGAACCAGGAACTCCAATGTCTGATGGCCAGAGAAGATAGATTTTCCAGCTTCAGATTAAAGCAAGTAAATGTGTCTTTTCTCTGCCTTTTTGTTGTTTTTGGGCCCTCAACTGATTGAATGATGCCCACCCATTTTGGAGAATGAGATCTTCCTTTACTTAGTCTACTGATTCAAATGCTAATCTCTTCTGGAAACAGTCTCATAGGTAGACCCAGAAATGTTTGGGTACCTTGCTGTCTGGGCATCCCAAAGCCTAGTCAAGTTGACAAATAAATAAATAAATAAATAAACCCCATCACAACCATCTCTCTCTCTTTCTCTTTCCAATGTAATTTTTACACTGCAGATCGGCATTTTTACAAAATTATAACCCAATCAAATTGTGACTTCCTGGTTAAAACTCTTCAATGATTGCCCTGGATGTGCTGTGTGGATCATTTGTCCGGTTTCTCTAACATACAATCTGTGCCCTTCTCTATGCTCTGCACTGCAGGAGGGGTGGCCTCCACAGTTTCCATTTCCTAGATACCACCTTGTCAGTCAGCTTTCAGTTGGGTTCAGCAAATGAAACTGGTGGGAGACTGGAGGGTAAGAGGAGGAGTAAAAGCTAAAGTATTTCTCATCTGTCCTCCACAGTTTATCTAATGACTCCAACTGTCACTAGATCTGCTGAGGATCCAGCTTCTACTCAATTGGTCCTCAAGTCCTAGATTTAGGACTTGGTTGGTTACCTACCAATGCTAATCCCTGGACTGCTTATCCTCTGCTTGATATTTGGGCAAATTTCCAGCTTCTACTCAATTGGTCCTCAAGTCCTAGATTTAGGACTTGGTTGGTTACCTACCAATGCTAATCCCTGGACTGCTTATCCTCTGCTTGATATTTGGGCAAATTTACATTTGAGAGGTAGTGGAGGTAATGGTTACCTTTATGTAATACCTATATATATTTCACTTAATCCTTTCCTTGTTAGTTCCAACAAATTTGGTAAACTTGGCATCTGTCATTCAAATACTTCTCTGTGCTTACTGATTTTTCTTTTTAAATATTTTATTTATTTATTCATGAGAGACACAGACAGAGAGAGAGGCAGAGACACGGGCAGAGGGAGAAGCAAGCTCCATGCAGGGAGCCCGACTCGGGACTCGATCCTGGGTCTCCAGGATCACACCCTGGGCTGAAGGCGGGGCTAAACCGCTGAGCCACCCGGGCTGCCCTGCTTACTGATTTTTTGCTTGCTTATTCTATCACTACTGAGAGAAGTGATTAAAATCTCCAACTATGTTTTTGGACTTGTATGCTATTACTTTCAGTTTTGTCATTTTTGTTATATATATTCATATATATGAAAAATTATAGGTACATACAAATTGAGCAGTTTAAAATTTTCCTGGTGACTTGCATTATATCTAGTAATATTTATCTCCTAACGCTTTGGATGCTGCTTCACAGGTTTCCTCCCTGACCACCAACTGTTGGAGTATCTATGAGCTCAGGGCCTAGACTTCTTTCCTCTGTTTTCACTTAATCTGTAGGTTTATTCATCTAGTCTTACAGCTTAAACCTCATTTTCTGTTGATGGACCACTTATATTTATCCCTAGACTATCCTTCTCTCCCAAACTGCAGGCTCTTAAATTCAGCTGCCTCCTTAAAATCTCTATTTAGATGTCTGATGGGAAGGCCAAACTTTGGATATTAAAAATCAGACACCTGATTGTCCCCCTAAACCTGCTCCACTTGGCACTTTTCCAGTTGTTAATGCAAAAACTTGAAAGGCATGTCTGGCCCCTCTCATACTCTCATACTTCATATGCAAACCCTCAGCAGAATATCTTGGCTTTATTTTCCACATATGTCTGGAACTTAACTTCTCACAACATTCATTGCTATCACCATGGGGTAAAAGGTCTGGTGTTCCAAGGTATCATTTCTAGTTATTTCCTAAGCATTACAATTTTCAGAGCTGGGGTTCCTGGAAACAAGAGTCTGATCCAAGAACCTTTGTCCCTGTGCTAAGTATTCATTCTCCACTGCTCAATGATCCAGCTGTCGTGGCCTGTTCTCCACTTACACTTCCCATTGTTCCAGAGCTTCTCAACGTTCTTTTCTGCCCTAGAAAATCTCTTCTAATTTCTGTCTTCACACAATTGCTACACTGACCGATTCTGCTACTGACACTCACTCTGGTCTCTGTGTCCAATTTCTTGTTTCAACTGGCTTTTCTCCTCCCAACCCCCTCACATGTGAAAGGAAGCAGACTACTCATTTTGTCTAAAACAGTTCAAGGCTCCATCTGAGGAATGAGATGAAGGCATAAAAAAAGTCCTTCAGGAACAATTTACGCCAGGGCAATCATTACCTGCCATGAAAATTTTCATATTTTTAAAAGCAAGCAATATAAAACAGAGGACTATTTTTTCTAGTTACATTCCCCCCTTGAGTTCAGAATATAAAAAATTCACATTAAATTAAGATTTCTAAAAATAAACAAATTTTTATATCCCATGCTGTGCTCTCTTCTTATCTCAGAGACTGCGGTAGATTAAAGATGACTGCAAATTCTTTACACTCTTCCCATCCAGGGTCTACTTGCCTTCCCTTGAATTCAGGCTGCACTGTGATGTCTTTGGACTAT